TTAGAAAGGAGAAACATGTGACCTCCATTCCCACCTTAAAATATTGTCTCAGATTTCAATAGCTCTTCTATACATCATATATACAGTATATGGGGAAAAAAAAACACACATCTTGATTGCTTAGGTTAGAATCCACTGTGGTGGTATACAGAAGCAAAACTACACAGATGTCCAAATACTTATACTTACTAACTCCACACTATTTAGAAACAATTACAGTTAACATCCAAACTGAGATGTTATAAGATGTGTGCTTTTTGTGAATCACAGAAAGTATATGTTGATTTGCTGTGACTTTTCAGTCAGGCAACATCGGAGTTTCGAGAACTTGGTGTGGGTGTACACTGACGTTTTCGACAGCTTTGAATGACACTGAAAACTCTTAGCCTCATATCATCACTGACACACCTCATTGTTTTTGCATCATTCACTCTCTGCATGTGCAAACAGGATACCTCCCTCATCTTATAGACGTTTCCTGACTCAACTTTCTATTTCTCTGAAGTTCTTATGCGAAAGAAAAAGAAAGTCCTCTCATCCAGCCTTATGCGATTAAGAAAACAGAGCTTCTCCTTATTTCCTAATAATAAAGCATTTTTATTATTTATTCTTTGATCAGTATATAAATGAGAAATCTAGTTTCACTAGAAAAACTGAATGTTCACATGTCTGAATATTGTGTGTGCGCATGATCCAACTTCAACTTTGGTAGATTAGTTGATGACAGTGTGAATGTGAGAAGATAACTCAAACCATCAAGCTGCATGAGTTGAAAGTAGGGATATTGATGGTTGAACACAGAACCATAATTCCATAATGGTGTGTTATTTATATGTGATTTTGCTGATAGTAAATTGTGTTTAACACTGATCAGAATATCTCATTAACTTTTTGACAGCCAGCCAGGTGAGAGCAAAAATACACTGAAATACCAACAAGCCACATTCTACTTGGCCAAGAAATCACTCCATGTAGAACAGAGTGCTTAACATATTTAGACAGTATTTTTATTTATTGCAAAACTTTCTGTCGCTATAAACTTGAATGAATGATGAAATATAGGTTTGATTCATTCTGAAGCCTCAGTGTTAGTGTTTTAGCAAACTGGAATGTTGCTGTTATTTTGGCAGCAGAAGTGAGAGGTGAGAGGATGGCCAGCTGAATCCATAAAGTCTTCAGATAAAACGCTCAGACAGCTTGAATTTGATTGGATGAACGTACAAATGATTTATTATAGGTTCACCAGCAAAACAAGTTGTAAATTACTTAAGAATAATAAAGCAAAATATATCAAACTGAAAAGAAATCCAACAGAAAGCAACAGAAGCTACTTGCACTAGTTTCTTACACGAAACAATTTTCCAAGACTGAAGTTACATTCACTATTTCCCAGTCACCAAGCATAACTATGCTACAGGCTGAAGACGTTTCAGGAGAGATTACAGAAGTGATTCCCCCCAATCTAAGAAGATATTTTCCCAAAACAAAGTACTCACAACTCTTTTTATTATTATCTATTAGCTGCTAGCCTTTCTGGATTTTTTTTTAAATCATAAAATTGCCTTATTAAGTCGTAACCACAGACTGTATATAAAAGATGTAAAGACACACCATGCTGTCACTTAGAGCATCAATATTTGCATTTTAGCTGCTTGTATATTTGTTTTTTTGCAGTCAGATGTGACCACTTATATGTCGCGTTTCGATGGTGGATGCTCATTTTAAACTTTTAAACCAAAGTTTCAAATGATGATCTGGGTAAGTACAAGTAATCTCTGTGAGCACAAAGCTCAGCCTTCATGATGCTTCACATGGTGTTTTTTCTATTCTTTGCTGCATGTGACACCAGTGAGAGGGTATAACCCTAATAAGGTCATGTCGGGCAGAAGTCCCAGCCACCAGCTGCACCAACGTTGTTCACAATGGCAGCCAATCAGGAGAAACACAGACAAATACAAATGAGTGATAATGGGTCCGCTTTAAAGATTAAAATGACCAA